CCCCCCCCCTCCCTCCCAACCACTCTCTGCCAAATCTGTCTTTCTCTCTCCTACCCTCTGCCTTTAGACCGACCACACCGGTAACAAGTTCGTTTCGCTCTCGCGCATCTCTCTCTCTCTCTCTCTCTCTCTTTCTCTGCCCCCTTCCCACCGCCATCGCGGTTTCTTCCCCCTAAAGTGCCCTCGTGGTCTGCGCCCGGAGCTCTCTCGTTCCTCTCTCCTTTTATACCGAGGAAAATGGACCACGAATAAGTGATACGGACGCATTGTGCGCCGGAGCAGCCCGACGGGCTATGCGCCGGGAAGCGAGTACACACACATACACACACACATGCGCGCGCGTGTGCACGCGCGAGATCGTGAAGGACATCGCGCCGGCCGGGAGGATAAGGACGAGGATTGAAAGAGCCGCGGCTTCCGGAATCTGGGGCAATATATACGGTTCGCGCCTCCCCGGCCCACCCCGAACCGTATGGCGTTTCTTACGGGGTCAACGGTTAAAGGGACGCTCGAATTTTAAAGGCCGACTCTTCAAGACTCAAAAGTCTCTCCCTTCTTCTTTCTCGTAAATCCAATGGTGTGCATCCGTCCAAACACTGACCAGAGAGGCTCATTTTCTTTCCTCTCCTTCTTTTTATTTTTCCTTCCAGTGAATGCGTCTACTTGGATATTCACATTCGTTTTCTTTTTTTTTTTTTTTTTTTCTAGCAGGAACATTAACGGCCAATCCTCGGGGATTTCCAATATACAGTTGTCGGCGATTGTTCCGGCGGTTCATTAACAAGCGTCGAATGAAACCGTTACCTATCGAGCAGACGCGTACGTCCATTATTCTCGCGCGGTTGAACGAAAGACCCATGCTGTGCGTGACTTTCTTTCACGCTTGCTGCCTCTCGCGATAATAACGCTCTCTCTTGGTGGTGGGCGGCTGCAAGACTCTATTCGCGCCTGTTGACCTCGGTATCAAGCAACAAAAGGTTCATTCTGTCGCTATTATCATCCCTCCCCTGTTCGTGGGGAGCTGCACCTTCGTAGGATTATTTAGCCTTTCCTTAGCTGGCCAAAAATAGACCGCGTCACTCGCGTTGCTCCCTTTGTCTCGCCAATTTCGCGACGTGCCGTTATTTTCGGCGGACGCGCGATTAAAAATAAGGTCATCACCTGGCGAAACGATAAGAAGCGAGTGATTGCGCAGGCCGTAGAATTCTTGCGTTCCACATCTTCGTTTGAAGTCGATCGGTTTGATTGTACTTCGCGCGTAGTAACTCCCCGATCGCCCCTCTGTTTCTGTTTCTGTTTCTGCGCCGATCGTGCGTTTTATCGCGCGTAACGTAACTTTAGGCGAATGAACATACGTATATTCATTATGAAATTGATGATACTTTTATCTCGCGGCTAGTGTACGCTGGTCGCGCACGCGTAACGCGCATGGTGGAAGTTGGCAAGCCAGATACTCGTATCAAAAGTGGAGCGCGTAATAATAATGACGGATTTTTGTACGCCTTCAATTTCACGCGCGTATCGCCCGTATAAAGTCGTCCTTTAGGCGAATCAGTATACGCTTTTTGGAGTTTTTCAATCTCTCGAGTCCCGAAGTCATCACGCTTCAATCGCGTTCTTCGCGTCGAAGTTTCGTGGAAGCCTACGTCCTCTCTGTCTCTTTCTCTTTATTATCATCGGAGCTCTTGATATCGAACGATTGAGAAAAGTGAAATTGTAAGGCGAGTCGATTGTAAGGCAGTATCCGTTTCTTTCCACGGTTTTAACGATTCACGGTACGCGGGCAGCTGCGGCCGGCGAATAATGCCGGTGTTGTCCGATTTAGTTTGAAAACCCATCGCCGAGTATCTAAGCAGAGAATGATTACAAAATAGCAACGCTCTTGTTATTGAACAAACGAACATTGTCGATACTCGATGGCTCTCCTTCAAAACCACATCGATCCTTCGATCGATCGAAAATTCACCATCAAACCGGTATTACATTCCAATGTAATTAAACGATTTGATCTTATCAATTTCAATAAATAGACAAATCGTGGCCTGGGTACGTACGTAACTGAAGATGAGCTCGAGGGACAAACGCCAACGACGAGCGGTGAATTTACAAGCTGCCCGTAAATGATCTTTATCGATTGATCTAGGATAGGTGCAATTTGCTCGTGGTGCGCGATCTGTCGTTGAAACAAGCGTTTCCCCACCCGGGAACGCGGGGTCGCGGCCAGAATTGAACGCACTCCAAAAAGCGAGTGAACGTCACGCAAGTGCGAGCTGTCGTACACAGTTGGCTGAATTTTGGAAGAATTTTGGCCGTGATGCCACCGCACGCGGCGCGTGGGCAGCGGATTGGCACGATTCCGTCGGCCCGCTGGTTCGCGCTTGCCAAGTTCACCGGTTCGCTTTCAATGGTTACACATCGGCAGGCCTCGGTGGATCGCATTCTGCCACGTTCCGCTCGCTTTTCCAACGAGCTCACGATGTTGCCAGTCGCGGGGAAGACACGGTCCATGCGACAGTCTCGTTTCAATCATCGAGTAGGTAGGAGAATGTTTCGTGCATTTCTTTTTTCCTTTCGTCGGGGCAATTCTCGTCAAAGTCACGAGTTCACTCTCAATGAAAACTGCGACGAAAGCAGTCGAGCGTATCGCAGTACCTTTCTTCGTTTCGACTGTACTTTACGATTTAAATCTCTTTCAACATCAATTATGAACAGAATTCCAACCTTGTTGTTTAACAACGAGCGCAATTTTACCAACGAAAGCATACATACTTAATAAAGAGACAATCGTAGAGATGAGAGATAATATTAATAGAGGCAGCCTTTTTCGTCAGCCTGTACGAAAGAAGTTCGCGACCGAGATAATCCGACAGTCATCGATCGAGACGGATGGCGATCCATAATTAGCCACGTGCGGGTGATCTTCATACTCTGTATCGTCGACGTTGTACATTGTGCGAAGGATGTTCAGCGAGAACGGAAAAAGCTCCGGCGTTGCCCGTCGCGCCGATACAAAGAATCAATTCATTCACGGGCTTGATTACACGCGGCAATTATTATTACGTGACCGGGCGATATCGACTTTTAATATAGACTGTAACCGCGCTCCGCGATAACTTACACGCGCGTGTCTATCTCTCGTACCCGCGATAAATTTCCCTCGTTTCGCTTACTTTATTCCTCTCTGCCTTACCGACCGGTATACCCCCTTTTCACAACCGCGCGAACCTCGAATCAATCGAAACGTGTCCAATTTTAATATTCTAATCTTTCCAATTATTTCAAAGTATCATAATATTTCAATATTCTGACAGAAATTATATATATATATATATATATATATATATTATATTATATCATATATAATATTATATATAAATATTATATATGATAGATAGATAGATAGATAGATAAATATTCTAACATTCCAGTTAATCCAAAGTAATCAATATTCCAATATTCTGACAGGAATTCCAATTCTCAAAATTAGAACCGATTCGACCATCGCGGTTTAACTTCGGTCGAGGCTCGACGAAATTCTTTGCAAAATCTCTGCCGGATGACGGGGAAAAAACCCGCGTCTCGAAGGTAACGCTACGTGCTACGTGATACGAAAAGCACTTTTCCTTTTTTTCGCAAGCTTATTCCGCAACTCGTTTTCAAAGTGGAATTTTCGATGTTTAATGCTCGGTCAGTTGCGTAATTAAATTATATCCGGGCAGAGGGCTTACTTTCACTCTGATCGAGATTCGATGCCATAGAAATGGAATCTAAACGCACGACGAAGGAAATTAGATCGACCGATCTCGGACAATATAAACGGAGCGAATGCTTTTTCAATCCCTCGACACTCGGCCACGTGTAACACGTCTTCCGGACGTTTTTAATTGGAGACTGCTCGCTTTTCGACTCGTCTCTCGATTTCTTATCGTCTCCTCTCCCCTCCTCGGATACGTTTCTTCGTCCCTCGAGCCAAGAGAAGTCGGGTATTTTCAGGCTCTCTTTCTCTGTGGACCCCTTGTTTTTTTGCCCTCTGACGGCCCTCTCCCGTCTTTCC